GGGCACTGGAACAGGCTCCCCAGGGAAGTGGTCAGAGCATCAAGCCTGGCAGAGTTCAAGAAGAGTTTGAATGATACTCTCAGGCACCTGGTGTGACTCTTGGGGATGGTCCTGTGCAGGGCCAGGAGTTGGACTCGATGATCCTTGTGGGTCCCTTCCAATTCAGCATATTCTGTGATCATTTTGAATTCATTCCCTAATTGGAAAAATAGGGATTAGCCACTTTTCACAGATGACATTTACCAGGCTTTTGTGTCCACAATATCTCCTAAAATGAGGCAACAATTAATCTTTTTAGAAAATAAAAGTTGCACAAGTTGCAGTATGGGCAAGCCAAAAGCCATAAGTAAAGATTGAAATTAAAAATTAAAATGTTGAAATTAGGATCTGAAACATGAATTTACTCCTAGTTTTAGTGGAGATCATGGAGATACATGCAAGCAGTGTCTAGACAGTAGAGAATTGTTTAATTGAGCCTCCATCTGTGTCTTCAGAAATGACAGGTAAGTTCTTCAGTGATGCACTGAAAGAATTGTAGCATTAAAGATGGTCATAACCAATCTGAGATGTGCATTAAGCCTTCACATGAGATGAGCACGAATGCATAACTAGTTGCAGATGCACAGTTTGGATTGACTCATACTTGTATATTGGTGTACAGTGGGCCATTTTCAGTCTGGCTGGCTAACTATTGAGTAACTTAGTGAGTTTGCACTGCAGAGTGCACTTAAAGATACCTGTTGTCAAACAAGGCAAGGAATTGTATCCAAGTCTGGATTTCTTTATTTTAAATCCATTAGTGATTATTATATTTGATTAACTCTCTGGAAAGTCTGTGGAAATCTCATTTCAAATTAGGCAGGATTTACTGAGTAAAATATGTAACTTAGTCTGTCAGTACCCTAGTCACTGTGTTCATTATTTTCTACATAAAATTCATTTAAATCACAATTTTATGGCAAATTCAGACAAAAACCTCTCTTTTCAGCATGCACGTGATTTTGGTAAAATAATGTGAAAGTATAAATTTGTGAGCAAGGCAGAAGGAGATTTTGATAGAAGCCAGAGAAAGCAACAAGTCTTTTTCTGTATACATATTTGCTGGTTATTTCTTTAATTGTGTTTTTCATACCTTCTTGGCTTCAACAATCTGTCTGTGGTTGTATTTCCAGGTTTTTCTAAAGTTCTAACAACTAAACCTCATAATTTTGAAGTTGCATTCAGAGCTTAATTCTCATACAAGATGGGAGTTTTGTAGCAGAACTTGAAGCTGTAGAACACAAACACCAGTAGCTCACTCTGTTCTTATGTTTTAAATATTTTTAAATACAATCTCTTAAAAAGCTGGATTGGCTAGGGCTGGAATGCAGCCTTCAGGCAAACAATCAGAAAATGAAGTGCACAGGCTACTACTCTTTTTGCTCCAAAGCCTTTATTTTAAGATTTTGCTGATTAAAACGATTTCCCAAGTCTAATAGTGAATACAATACTGCATCGCTAAATAAAATCTTATTTAGAAGATCCTTTACCTTTAAAGAAGGAGGTCAGCTTCCTGTTGCAGGGGCACTACTCTCATCCACTGAAGTTACAAATACTTGTGTGTTCTCGGAATAATCTTTATAATGCTGAAATTGTAGCAGTGAAGACACTCTAAAAGGGATAAACTTGACAAACATCAAAATTCTACCTTGGGTTTCAACGTATATGTTACAGGTAGTTGCTTACTTTGATTTGAAAACTAGAAGGAAGATTAAAGAAGGTGCTCTTTGAAACTGAGAACAATGTAGCACATATTTTGACATACCGATGAAATTGGATCACAGTAAAATTGTTTAAAAGTATTTTCAAGTGAATGAACCTAATGCTTAGGGCAAATAAGGTACACTAAGATATGTAAAAAAGAAATTTCATACGTAAAGATGGCATTGTATTCAGTAGTGTTTGTATTAAAATTTATGAGTTTAGGTCTTTCGAAAAGAACAGCCCTTCTGCAAAGTTAGCAAAATGAGTAGAAATACAATGGCCATTGCCAAATAACAAGCACTACAATAATAAATTCTAAAGCTCAAAATTATTTATATAAATTAGAACTCGTGTTACAGAAAATTTGTGTAGCCATTGTATGTTTACTCTTTCATCAGTGAGAATATGTTGTAATTCAAATATATATGGGGTGTGTAGTCGAATTTTTCTCCAGGTGATTTATTTTTATAACCACTTTGTACTTTGAAACTCTAGTTACTGAATGAAAGCTGTTTAGTAAGGATCATACAGTCAAATCATTCATTTTAATTCCTGTAGCTTTAAGGCAATACAAAATAAGCAGTTTTGATGCAGTGTTCTTGAATTCTTTGAAGAGAGCACTACTCTAGCTCTGTGCTGCAAAACTGACAATGGATTTCCTCTTGCTCTTTTTTTGTTAGGTAGTATAACGTTATTTAAAAAACAAAAGGTTCAGTTGCATTTAGGTCAGCTATTAAAATATTGTTGGTCATTTCCTTTGACAGAACATTTCTATTGTGTTATACCAATGTCATTAGGAGGAAAGGTTATTCCCACTTGTCTGGCTGATATCAATACATACTGGCATATTACATCCTCTGGCTTTCTGGAAATGCTTTATTTGAACAGCAGCTTGGGAACAGGAAATTTAAGGTTATACTCAGTCTGGTTTCAGACTGCGTGACAGAAAATATGTTTCCTAGAAGATGCTGTCTACCTGACAGATTTTCTCTAGTATTTTATAGAATTGGATAAGCTTAAATGGTTTCAAGTTGAGAATAAATTTTTACCAGCTGTAGATGGCAGACAAGGCAGAACAAGGCTTTCAGTCACTCTGTGGTATGTATTTGAGGAACTCACATGAAACACATTAGTTTCTTCCCCATTCACCAGTTACTCTAGAATGTAGTTTACCTGTTAAGATATGGCACTGATAATATTCCTGTTTTATCGGTGTTCCTGCTGTCTAGGAGGGGGAAGAGCAGAGTACTTTTATGTCAAGCCATGGTCAAATGTCCGGTCTGTGGCACTGTGGTAGCCTCTAAAGGCAGAGGTTCAAGGATAGCAAGGACAGAGACTTGACAACTTCTCTATGCAACCCATTCATTTGTATTTATTGCTTTTGGTGTTACACAAAATATAAATAGCTTTTGTATTGTGGGGGACATGGTTTTATCTATCTTCATTCATTTATGTAACCTCGCTTAAGAAATGCCATTTTTTGTATGTTTGAATACAAGGCAGACTTAAGATATCTACTTCAAAGTACAGAAATATTTTTTGCCCTTTCATTGTAGAAAATGCTGCATACCAAAGCAGTTTTTTCAATGAAGAGGCAAAACATGGCCATTGATTTTTTTTTTTGTCCTTGCTGAAGAATGTAAATTGTGCATATAATTTGTTTATGAAATGTCTGCAACTTACAGGTTGAAAGTAACATGCTGTCTGTAACTTCACTGAGTACAGATACAGATAAGAAATCGTATGTGAAGCTATTATATTGTATCTTCACTTAACTGTTAAATGCAGGCACGTTTACCAGTTCTGAGTTTCTTAATGTTCACTGTACAATCCATGCAATTTAAAATCCTGTTGGAATCAGTTTGTTGTCAAACGTCTGTGTCATATACAGCCTTCTAGTACCTAAAGGGGCCTTCAAGAGAGCTGGGGAGGGACTTTTTACAAGGGCATGGAGTAGTGGGAGAAGGAGTAATGGTTTTAAATTGAAATAGGGTAAGTTAAGATTAGATATAAGGAAGAAATTCTTTACTGTGAGTGTGGTGAGACACTGGGACAGGTTGCCCAGAGAAGTTTTGAATGCCTCATCCCTGGAAGCGTAGAAGGCCAGGTTGAATGAGCAAACATAGTCTAGTGGAATGTGTCCCTCCCCTGAACTAGATGATCTTTAAAGTCCCTACCATCCCAAACCATTCCGTGATTCTATGAAATACAGGTTAATTTTACTTAAAAATGACCAAGAGCCACATGACAACATTAACATGCTCTGAACTGGCATCAGGAGGACCCCTTGAGGACCCATGAATGAAACCTGTGAGGACCTAAGTACTTTTGCGTCAATACTGTCTCATGCTCTAAGAGCACGGAGTATAGGTGGGTCCTCATCTACCTTTCACATAGGTCCATTTTAGGTCAACTAGATGTAGGTGTGCAATATGGGTCATGTTAGGCACGGTTTGTAACGTCAAATACCTTCCTGAATAAAACTTACTGTGCACAGAAGACTGGTCCAAGCCAATGTTAAGAGTAGTTAAACTGAGTGATAACATTGCTACTGTGCTACTGACAGTTATCTTAATTGTATTATCATTTTTATTTCAGTTAGTTGTGTTTCTTGAAATACAGTCAACTTGTAATAAAAATTTCCGCCAAGCACATCGAAGAGGCTTGTGTGTATGGATGGCATTTGTGTTAAGGGGACGAGTCAAGGTAACTCTGGTGAAGAGACAGTTAAGGTGAAATAAATCACAATGTCAAGGCAAGAGAAGAGAACCCGTTTGCTCCATCACTGTGAATACTACAGCCACTATTTGAATAGTGAAGCAGAGCGGTTTCTATAGTTGGTGTCAATTTGGCATATTCACTTGGTTGACTGCTTTTTGAATTAGTTACTTTGCAGGGTGTACTTACCTGATGCTTGTGTGTTTCATATCAGTCATCATTTAATTCAAGCTTTTCAAGTTCTCAGATGCAACAGTATAATTTTAGGAAAGAATAGAATGGTAATTCAGACCTATGTATGCCTACTAGTAGCCCTGTTATCAGTTTTATGGTAGGTCTCCTATTTGACATTAAGTTTTTGCTGTTTCACCTGGTTTTCTTCTAAAGCATGGTAGAACCTTTCCATTCAATATTATGGTTTAACTTTGTCACAAAGCTCCCACGTGCATATGTGCCTCTCATATCGGTACGGAAGGGGGATTGCTTGTCTTTATGTTGCTGTAAACAATTCTGATCTCCGCTCTTTTCTAATTCAACAGAATTTAGCTTCTTGGAATCCTTCAAACCCTGAATGCCTCCTGCTTGTTGTGAAAGAGCTTGTGCAGCAGTATCACCAATTTCAGTGTGGCCGATTACGTGAGAGCTCTCGTCTCATGTTTGAATATCAGACTTTACTTGAAGAGCCCCAGTATGGAGAAAACATGGAAATCTATGCTGGCAAAAAAAACAACTGGGTAAGCTATTATTTCAGTTAAAATGCTTTTAACAAATACAGCTCTTTCCTTGGAAAACTTGAGTTCTTATTGTGGATCATCGTGCTTTCTGTTTCCAATGGACAAAACTTCTATTTGACTCCAGGTCATTTTCTATACTCCCTGTTTTACATGTTGCTGTGATTCCATTACCTTGGTTGAACCAGATTTCCAGGTGAGCCACTATTTTTGAATCTGGTGTTCATTCATCTGATTTATAGATGAAAACTTTGAAACTGTTGAAAAGCCTGTACAGTGTTATGTGGAAGTTTGAGTTAGCTCTGAAGATTTGAAAGGTAGAATAACAGTGTTGGTATGTCATCCTGCTAGCCAACCAGCCTGCTTAGGGATAGGATGTGTCAGGGTGTGGTTATGATACATTATGATCGAGTTGATTTAATTGGTAGCTGCAGTTGACAGTATCTCTCTCACACTTGTCTAAGCTGAGGAGTTTTGGGAACCTATAATTTTCTGCAAAAGGAGGCAAGATGGGCTAGAGCAGTGACTTTGTAGGGCCATGCGTTCATAGGACAGTCAGACAATAAAATGGCTTATCTGTTTCCTGAAGTTATATCCCTTGCATGGGAAATGTGCTGTGCTGTATAGAAACACTCTGCATATGCCATCTCAGCCTTCTAAAATGAGGCCATTGGCAATGGAGACATTTTGGCTTGTGTGTGAATTGTTTGGGTTTTTTTAATCGATCTCTGCCCCAGAGTAAGCTTTGCAAAAATCAGAGGTTTTTTCCACTGGTAAAATATTTATCATGGGAAGTTTGGAGTAAGATATGTCAGGAAATATCTAATGGTGGTTATGATGAACGTGTTTCCCTCTTGCTTTCGGGAATTGCATACTCTTAAGATAAACTGGCCTTCAGAAGCAGTATCTTCTGAAATAGATGCAGTCTGAAAATTGATGAAAATTCAGCATTCCTGTTAGCAGGGCATAGAATTCAGCTTTGTGTCACTTTAATCATCCTTAAGTTACAGGTGATGCAAGGATGTTTTCTTTACAACTCACACTACTTACATTCATCTGTTTTTCTTTTCTTAGACAAGTCATCTAAGCTTTTTTTATTTTAACCCAAGTAAAATTTTCTTCATCAGAGAAATTCAGATCTTTTGGTTTTATGTTTATACGTCACAATATTTCATTAAAATTAATTTGTTCATAAATGTTGTTCTCTGTAGCTTGCACCACAAACAAATTGTTACATCTCTAAATTTTATTAGAGTGGTTTATTGAAGTACAGAAGGCTTTCTGAACTGCACTGAGATTTTATCATAGATTTTGCCAGCTGCAAAAATTCTCCTCAAGATGATAGAAAATTAGGGCTTTTCTCCTTTTTCCGCAGGAAAGACATATCTACTCAAGCCTTTTGAATCTTTGGTGACTGAATAAAGAACTTTTTTTTTTTAAATTTGAAATGCTGTCTTAGTTAAAAGTATTCCAATAAAATAAATCTTAAATACTTTTTGAGTCAAATCCTTTTCATCATTGCAAAGCTATTTTGGAGTTATCCATAGCATATGCTTTGTTTTCCAAGTTTACATTCTCTGTCAATAAGATTCTTGTGAGTCCTGTTTGGAGATTCTATGGATCTGGTATCTACATGACAGAGGCTTGTTTATTAGTGTCCTAAAACAAAACTATGAAACTAACTTGTGTAGTTCTCCTTCCTGTCCTTTGCAACTGTTTTGTTAGCCTTGAGGATCAGCAAATTAGGAGTGTTTTTTCAAAAAGCAGGAGGTAAACTGCCCATTATCTCCTCTGCCATTGAAATTCATGTTGTTGCTGTCTATCAGGAATCGATAGTAGTTCAGCAGATTTCTGAAATAAAAGTATTATAAAAGCAATCATCTTAGGTGTGTGAGTTAAAACAACTTGGGAGAGGAGGCCTGAATTTAGCACTGTGTAACAAAATGGAACAGAAATTCGCTTTTATGCCTTTGTTCCATTATCTCTAATTTCCTGAAGTGATCTCCTAGATCTATGACAAATAGGCAAACTATTATTTAGCCTAGTAGCTTCATGTTGGCACAGTACCAGCTGGTGCAGAAGCACATTAAATACCTAATTTCTCAGTGCTGTAGCCAGAAATTCATCATTCTTGACTGATGTCTGTATCCAGCTGGTTGGGGCTGGGTAGGCGAGCACCATGGACAGGGCCTGCTCCCTGCCTGGCCAGAACACTCTTGGAAGTAATACTTAGCAAAATAATCTTGATCGAATGACATAAAAAACCTAGACCGAAAGTCCACTTTGTGGAGCAGCTGATGCTTTTATTAGAGACCATTCATCTGTTCAGTGGCTATCCCAGTTCATCAGACTCTGTATTTTACCAGAAAAAATTTCTGGATTTTTATGGGAAATGTTGTGTGGCATTTTTTGTAAGTCCAGAAGAGAAGCGCTGTATATAATATCCATTTCACTCTGAATAAAAAGCAAGCACCTTGACTGTCACTATAGCAGTCCTCATGTTTTATGTGCACAAGAAGTCAGTGATTTTTCTCCATGAATAAGTAATCTAGCATTAGAAAGTTGGCATGTATCCTCACAAGTAGTATCATCAGGAAAGGTTTCAGAGTTGGAATTTAATAATATACACTCAGTTCTTGTTGCATAGTGTTTCTGTGAGCGATTTCTTTGCCTGTCTCATGTGACTGCCAGGGACAAATTTTAAGGGGAGTTCTGAGCTGGCTGGCAGCAGGGTGGATTACAGTCCAGCATCACACAAACCCTTATGGCAAATGATATAACTTAAAAGGGTACCATTGCAAAGATTTTGATTGCGTTCCAGGTCTTGTTTTTTCTTATTCAGTGACTTGAAGATAGAATGAGTTATTTCTAGTTCATGCCTGGTAGATAGACCAAGAAACAAATTGGCACTGACATTAACATTGTTTATTCTATATCTGCCTAATACAGCATCTCTCTATATATGTGCTTACTTGCTTGGGGTGAAATCTTTGCTTAATTTAGTCATAAAATAAATGAAGGAATTTTTTCCTTCTCAGTTTTGTTTCATGTCAGTACCACAGAAAATAATGTGCTGAGCAAACAATCACTTATATTCCTCAGCTGCCCTGCTTAGCAGCTTACTATTCATTTTGGAAAGGCAGTTTCCATTGGCTTTGACCTCCAGTACTTTCTCAGAAAGGCTTCTGCATCGGCAAGCTGGTTTCCTTCAGGGTTTTATTCAGCCAATTCCTTTCTGAATCAGTATGAATAGCATTTGATGGGGTCCATCGTTACAGAGGCTTGTGGTCTGGTAGTATGTGGCCAGTGACAACTTTCATGTTGTCTGTTATGCTGAGCTCAAAGCAGTTTATGGATGAGCACAGCTAATTGACAGGGAAGGCAAGAGTACTGACTGTTTTGCAAAGGCGTATGACAAGTTTTTGGGACCAGTACAGGACAGTTTGAATGCTTTCCTCTTAAGGAGTTTAGCGTTTGGCAAGCCGTCCTCATAGCTGTGTGGTGTTCTTGTGATGGCATCTACTACCTGTAGTAAGGCAGTGGGCCAAAAGGTCTGTCTGACATCTGTATTTTTCTTCTCGCTATGCAAAATATTTAAAATATTAAAATGAAAATTAGGTGCAGACATCTATGTTCAGGAAATAGCAAAGTAGTGTATATGTGTTACTGTGGTAGAGCAAATGCTGAATTTTCATGCAGCTTTGATTTGTCCCTTTCTTTGTTAAAAGGGAGTGCTGTTTTTTAAAAATTGTATGTCAACATGTAACTAAATAGCATGTATATGTCAAAAATAGGGCAGTGTTAAAAAGTTTTGCGAACTTGTCTCAAGTTTTCCCAATTTTTTGTACTTAACTGCATAAAATCAATGTTTAACACTTTCTTTGCTACCAATTCAGCCTACTGAACAAATATGGCTACTGTGTGGCTGCTTTATTGAACAAAAAATAGAGATAACAAAAAACTAATATGGAGGAAATCAGGCAGGCATTTGTTTTTAAAAAACAGTCAACTTCGTTGCTTCATAACCAGGTGGTCAAAGTCTGGTTTTAAGGAAGTATATGAAACAGAAAGGAAATCCTTTCCATTTCCTTTGCATACACTTTATACATAAAAAAAGAGCAATGTGTAGGGGACACTTGGCAAATTTTCGGTAAACAGTTGTCTAGGTGTTGAGAGTTACATAATTATGAAAACAAATTGTTTATAACTTTCTAATGCAGTTCTTTATGTTTATTCAGAGGACGCTTGATACATTCTCACCTTTCTCAACACAAATTCTCTTATGTATATCTGCCGTATTTGTAAAGGTGCCTCTGTTATATCTATATACTCTTATAAATTTGTCCGGTTTTTAGCTTTGCTTTCAGACTATTTGCAGGTCCTGCCAGACCTTTGTCCGGAAATGAGTACAGCCAAGATACGTCTATATTTAGGGTGCAACAAAATATAGTCTGATTTTTTTCATGCACATTGTTTTGTTCTAACTGCTTTTTGCTGTTGACTTACTGGCAATGATGTTTTATGGTTTTTAAGGTGTTTTGTCATGTAACGCTTATGAAATCTGTAATATTTTTTTTTCCTCTTCAGTAATTCTATTCAGCAATTTTGTTTTAAATCTCAGCCCTTCTGTTTGGTATGAGCTCTTACTCATTTTTTATCAGAACATTTGTAGTTCTGTTTTAGCCACCAGATCTCATTAGTGTTACCTTTTTTCCACAGACTGGAGAATTCTCAGCTCGCTTCCTCTTGAAGTTGCCTGTTGATTTCAGCAATATTCCTACATACCTTCTCAAGGTAAAATGAAAGTCCAAGTTGACAGTATTTGTGAGAGTATGAATTATTGAAATCTTCTTAGTAACTATTTTGACTTTCCCACCTTCCTGCTTTCTTAGAGTTTGTAAGTCCACCGTTTCTACATGTGGTTGGATTATGTTTTGGAAAGGTGATGTTGGACATACTGTTGTTTTATGTGCCACTTTTCCAAGTAGTTGATATATACCTATCACTCTAAAGGATCTTGCAGGATTTAGGTTGTTGTAGAAGATGGACTGCAATGCAGATGTTCTGGGTTTTTACACACTATGATACATATCAAACTCTTGACCCTATCCAAGATATTATTATCTTGGGGAATAAGCTTAAATATTTCCAAATAAAATCTTTTATATGGGTCTGTGGAATTTCATGACATGTAAATGCTGTTTTTTTCAATGAACAGTCTCAGTTGTACCAGTAGTCTTGAAAGTAGAAGCAGAAAAGCAAACTAAATATACCATTTCTTAACAGGGAGTGAAAGCAAATGCTGGTGACTTGAACTGAAAGCTTCAATGATTACTTTGCTTCATTGTTTACAATGAACACAAATTTGACCAGATACTTTCAAAAGTAAGACTACAGGGTATGTTTGTGAGTCAGAGAAAAAAGTATTTATTTCTTTGCTAAGAGGAGAAGGGAAGAAAAAAAAACCCCAACTTTGACAAACTACCAACGTGGAATAATTTGAAATAAGTGGTTTTCACAGCACGGGAACAGCCTCTCTTTCAAGCAGCTACTGTGGAAGCCTATCATAAGGTCAGTGTTACTACGTTCAGAGAACAGAGTTTCTTGTCTATCACAACTGTCAGAATGAAGGGCTAGAACTTCCACTGCAGACAAGGTTTGAGTCAGTTGATTTTGCCAACACCCATCTTTCCTTTAAACTGTGTGTCTGCCTTCTTACTCAGCTTTTTACTTTTAAATATTTGCAAAGAGTAACAGCATCTTATTCTTAAGCAACCACTGTGTTGAGATGAAAATGTCACTATGGATCCCATTACCTCCTCTTCATCTTATTGTTAGAACTATCTCCAACTATTGTTAAATCACAATTGTGCGTCTTCAGTGTTTCTCCAAATAAGATGTCTTGAGCTACAAACCATGGAAATAAACGTAGGCACAACTATAATTTGACTGAAATTTTTGGTTGCAGTCTGAAATAGGTATCCTATGATCTTGCTACCTTCTGTAGGATGTTTTCTATTTGAGTAATGAGCCACTCCTAACTTTCTCAAAAGCATCCAGATATTTTCAGTTTGTTCCTGTATTCATGGCAGCATCTCTTCTCCCAGCTGCTGTCTTTCATCAGGGCCTTTTCTTCTGACTTGATGGAAATGTTTCCAGTCAGACATAAGAGAGTCTGACTGGCCAAGACCTTTTTGGTAAAGTTGGTGTTAAGAAGCAGGATGCAGGAACAGTTCACTTGGACTGAAGGATATCTGTGATTTGCTTCTGAAAGACACTGTTGAAAAAAGAAGACTGAGAATGTATAATGTGAACTACTCTGTCTGCACCTGCCAGAACTCCAAAGTGCTGTATTTTCCAAGAACAATTTTAAATGGGTCAAGAATTTCAGGACAAGTGCATAAGCATTATGTTGATTAACTTCGGTCACAGGGCTGTCTTGTACCTCTGTTCAGCCTCTGGGGAAACTTGGGGGTTGGAAGGTGGTGTATGACTTACGTAAGTAACTGTCATCATGTAGAAACCCTGTGATAGAAACGGATTCTGCTGTTGTTCCTAAAGAGTAATGTTTTAATGCATGACAGCATACTCCTCCTTACTGTAATTCCCTATCGTGTTCACTAAACATCTTCCACCTTCTCTAAACAAGGTTGATGTACTGTGGATAAGTCATTAGTGCTCCACAACTGCTTCCTGGAGGTTTGTTCATCCTGAGTACTGAGTGATTCATTCTTCTGAAGGAAAACATGTATTTATTTGGCATGCATTTATAGTGTGATGTGAAGGGATATGAACAGCAGGTAGCAGAATCAAAGTTTCCCAGTCTACCTTTATTTTGACATTTCTAAAATCCTAATGCCTTAGCTTTTGGGGTTTTAAAATTAATGGGGTTTTTTGTGTGTAATAGCCTGGATTTTTACAACAGCAGATCCTTCTTGATGGACAATGTGCTGATGAAATCCTTAGCTTTCTTAGTCAGGCTTCTACTATGCATTCTGACAAGGCTAGCTGTCTGTAGTAGGAAGGTGATATGTAGTCTGAATGGGTAGCAACAGGAGAAGAAATATTGTCTTATTCCACCAGTGTTTGTTGACAGCAGAAAAATGGTTTGACTCAGGCTCCAGCATGGATTATGACAGAGTGTGCTCTGTAGCAGGCAGTGGATCTTACACCCCTGCTGCCTTTAGTTTCCTATATTCTGACATTATCAGCTATATGAATGTCACCTCATATGACAACAACATAAACAACATAAAAGCAGGTAGATTCAGAACTATTCAGATGTGGTTGAAATAATTATGCTCTGACTATTCCAAATTCATAAAGCTATTCAGAAAAAAAAAATCAGATTTTTTTTTGAGCTGTCCGTATCTTCCTTTTTTTTTGCATGAGACTTTTGAGATAAATAGATCTTTAATGTATTGCAATAAAATCATGTCTGCCGGTTATGCTGGTTTCGATACCGCCTGCTGAATTATGATACATGATTGACAGAGCATCTACTGATGCAGTGGAAATAATTGTTAATATATCACTCTGAAAGGTGGAAGAGCAATCAGTAATTGAAGACTCTTAGTGTATTAACAGCTTAATGTTTTACTGCAGAATTTAATGTGTTTGAATTATATTCTAGTCTGTAGCCAACCTTATAACATGCAGTAGCTTCTCTATAATGATTTCCACAATTCAAACCTGTGTTATGCTTTCTCTAATATCTTTTTTTGATGTTTAATTAATACTACTTATATTAAAACCTGGTGAAATATTTAAAGACCATTATTCTTACCTAATCAATCACTCCTAGTACCCCAGTGATTTGTAATGCTCTTCTGAAATCTTTATTAATGTCAGTAGGTAATCAAACTACAAGTGTGACTGTAAAGCTTTGTATCATAAGCGAATACTCAGGTTTGAGGATGTAAGCTGTGAGATCAGCATAGTGTTACAAAATCTTTGGGGTCGTTGAGAATACACTCTGGAATCATAAGATCTTATACCATCAACTTTGTACCGATGGTGGTGAGAGTACTGTCCCTATAAAGAATAAAATTTTTAAGGTGTGGCATAAGTTGGATTGTTGTGGACTGGAGAGGTGAATTTACCAGGTATTCACTGCACTAAATTTAAAACTGAGTTCAAGTGTATGTGCGTTTTAAGGGAAATAGCTGAGTGTATTAAGAGTGAGAATGATTACAAGAGTGATGCAGAGTACACTGTCTCTTTTTTTGAAACCTCAAACTCTAGTAAAAGTTCTTCAGTTGAAAACTAAATAATAACTTGGAATATTTGCAGCAGTTAAGTCTTTTTCAATAACTTTTCATGGCATACTTCTTCACATTTGAAAGCAAAAGTATCATTCTTTATATTTCATGTTAAAGAACTCTTCAAAAAGAACTGTTGGTTTTCACTTAAAAAGCACATTCAGGAAAAGATACCCTTTCATTATTTCTCTTTTGGATACACTTTAATGCAAAGGTTTTAAACTGAATGTGGACCTTTGTGTCCACTTTTACATTGTTTTCTTACCCAAATCCATTTGACATAAATGAAAATTTCAAGTGTTGAAACAACTACAGAATCAAGCTAGTGGCTCAAACTACTGCAGAGTTCATTATGATAAGTCTTTCATTAAGGTTCTCCTGCTTGAAAAGAATTTGGCTTTGGCTCAGGAAAATCCTTACATCTATATCTGTTTGCTATTATACTTTCTCTTTCCCTTTTTTGTAGTTGGATTTTTAATCAGCACATTTGTTTTGACTTAAATTCTTTTCTATTGGTTGCAACATTTTTAATTTTCACCACCATATTTTATAAATGGAAGTATTTACATGCTGGTTTTGAGAGCCGGTCTCTAGTTCACATTTCTGCCTCTGTACAGATACTGTGTACACCACAGTAATGAGAGTAATAGGCTTAGCATCTGCAATACCTCTTCCAAATTTTCATGTAATCATAGAATTGTTTAGGTTGGAAAAGACTTCTAAGATCACTGAGTTCCAACTGTTAACCCAGCAGTGCCAAGTTCACCACTAAACCGTGTCCCTAAGTGCCGCATCTACGCATCAATTGAAAACTTCCAGGGGTGGTGACTTCACCACTTCCCTGGGCAACCTGTTCCCAATCCCTAATCACTGCTTCAGTGAAGAAATTTTTTCTAATGTCCAATCTAAACCTCCTCTGGTACAATTTGGGGCCATTTCCTTTGGTCCTTTCACATGTTGCTTGGGAGAAGAGGCCAAGCCCCACCTGGCTACAACTTCCTCTCAGATACTTGTAGAGAGCGATAAGGGTCCTCCTTGAGCCTCAATTTCTCCAGACTAAACAACCCCAACTCCCTCATCCCCTCCTCATAGGACTTGTGCTCCAGACCCTTCACCAGCTCAGTTGCCCTTCTCTGAACATGCTCAAGCACCTCAATGTCTTTCTTGTAGTGAGAGACCCAGAAATGGACACAGGACTTGAGGTGAGGCCTCACCAGTGCCAAGTACAGGGGGACAGTCACTGTCCTGGTCCTGCTGGGCCATGCTATTTCTGATAAAAGTCAGGATGCCATTGACCAACTTGGCCACCTGGGTACGTTCATTCTTCGTAGTTTTTGTCAGCTAGGGGCATGTGTGTAGTCATAATGACAAATCATTAAAAATGTCCAGCTCAGTAATTTACAAATTGTACTAGATTATGTGACTGTAGTATGATTGCACAGTATGAGTGAACTTGAGAGTATGTTGCCAGTGATGCTGTTGAAAACAAGATATTTACGTAATTTTCTTCTTATTTATATGGGGGTTTTTAGG